GTGACCCCTCCTCTCTGTCCCCCCAGAGGGAGGCTGTGACCCCCTCTGAGAGCACCCTCTGCCCCGCACACACCGGAGGGAGGCCGTGACCTTGCCCCTGTGCCCACCCCCCCAGCACACAGCAGAGGGAGGCCGTGACCCACCCCCACCTTTTACAGCGTTTTGAGGACGGTGCAGGGAGAACTTGTAGCCTCAGACCTCCCTCCCAGGGCTGGGTCCTCTCCCAGTTCAGGGCTTGTGCACCCAGGGGGTCACGGGGGGGCGGGGTCACACGGGGAAGTGCCTGGCGAGTGGAGACACCCACCCTGGCTCCTGTCTAGGGCAAAGCAGCTTCACGCGCTGCAGCCCCAACGCTTCTGCCGAGGCCTGCCCCAGAGACCAGCCTGGAGTGCACGGGCTCCAGCCCACAGCCCTGGGTCCGGCCTGGACTCCCCCACTCGCCCCCACTGACCCATCGGGCCCTGCCTCTCCAGGTCAGGGGGAGGGGCTCTGAAGCCCAGCCTCCCAGGCTCCTGCATGGGGTCTGGCTGGCGGCACCACGGCCACTGCAGGGCAGAGGGAGGCAGAGGGCCAGGGCAGGGCAGAGGGAGGCAGAGGGCCGGGACCTGATTTCCTTCGCCCCCGTCTGTCCCCACAGGGCAGTGATGTGGGGAGGGCACTGTTCAGGGGAGAGTGCTGAGAGGTGCCCGGGCTGAACCAGCGCGCCCCAGCCCTCGGGGGAATGGGGTCCAGACCCACAGCTCAGCAGGGACAGCGGGCACATGGGCATGTCAGTGGGATGGTGGGGACAAGGGCACGGGGACACGGCTCAGCGGGGAGGGGGGCACACGGGCACAGGCACACGGCTCAGCACGGATGGTGTCCACATTGACACAACTCGGGACAGGGCTGCGCACGGGGCTGGCGGACAGCTGCACAGGAGCCGGGCTGCAGGCCCTCCCTCCGCCCAGCGGCTGACCCTGGACTGGGTGAGCACCCCCCAACCACAGCACCCGGACACCCGCCAAGCCCCAAGCAGGACTGAGCCCAACATGCCACCATTTGAAGCCAGCACATTTTGAACTCGTGGTGGTGACCGTGTGGACAGAACCAGGGATGGCCCGAGCCCTGAGGTCACCCTGTCCTTGCCCGGGCACTGGGGCGGTGACTCCAAGCCGCGTTCTCGCCCACACAAGAGGGAGGTGAGACCTTCTGTCCATTCACGGCTTTTTCTGTCTCTGACTGACGAGGAACGAGGACAGCAGGCGGCAGAGTGCTGGCACTGGAGTCACACGTGGCCAACTGCGGTTGAATCTCGGACTTGGTGGCCTGAAACAGCCAGGATGCGTGGATGCACTCAAAATCCCAAGAGGAGGTGGAGAAGGGGCTGCAGCGTGGCCATCCCTCCTGGGGGCGATGTCTCGCTTTGCGGTACCGCCGAGTGCACGTGACCTACAGCAAAACTCTAAGGAAAGAACGAGGGAGGGCCATGCTGCTGTCCTCCTGCCAGTGGTTTCTCTTTTTATTATTACTTTTTTTTGAGAGGTTTTTCGCTATAGGGCACATGCGCTCGCCAGACAGACAGAGAGAAACAGAAAGCGAGAAATCACCCCCCAGGGGGGATGGTCACGCCGCAATCCCTTCTCCTCCATTCTCCTCTCGGGATCCTGGGCACGCACGCACATGCGCCCGGCGTGAGTTTTAAGCCACCGGGTCTGTGACACGAACCGCGGTCGACTACGTGGGAGTCCAGCGACATAGCCATTACGCTAACAGCTGGCCCCCTTTGTCTCTAACTTTGAGAATAACCACCGGCCACAACTGGTGCAGCTGTGGCAAGCTGAACTGCGGTGGTGGAAGCCACATGGCCGCCCTCAGTCCGGTTCCCTGGGTTGCCTGCAGCCACGCTGGCGCATGCCCGTCCACAGCGTGCCCAAGATTCAGAGGAGCCGGAGGGCACAGAGCAGGGGGCAGGGGCTCGTGGCCTGGTGGGGGACTGCTCAGGGTGCCCCTTCCCCTGCCGCAGTGAGTTAAAAATGAAGAGGGCACACGCCCACTCTGCCCCTCCTGGAATACGTACTGATGTTCTAGAACCAGATGCACCATGAACACCTCCAGGAAAAAGAGCAACAGGACGGTTATTAATAATTCTCTATTTATTACAAAGGTCCTACGGCTGTACACCCACAGCGCCAGACGTGGCCCTGGACAGCGATGGCGAGGCCAGCCTCGCGGCCTCTTTGCGACAACACAGAGCTCCCGTGGCCACGGGTTCCCGAGAGCCGGCCGGCAGCGGCAGAGGTATCCCGGGTGGGCGGCACCGCTGGCTCAAGGCGTACGGGACGTGGCAAGCCCGCATGATGGGCACGGCAGCGAACAGTCCAAGACAGCTTTGTTTTCTTTAAGAAAAACCCAGTGAGGATACAGTAGAGTTCAAGTCCAGGAGCAGGAGTGTACGGTATCTGAGGACAAAGGTTGGCAGCCTCACCTACGACCTGCTGGGACGGACCCTGTTTCCACTCTGCCTCGATTCTGTCACCCTGGGCAACAGCCAACTGGCAGCTGGTCCCGGGCTGGGAGTCCTGGCTGCCTAGGACAGGTCCCGGGAGGCCGGGTCCGGAGACTGAGCACACATGGCACTGAGCACACATGGCCACGGACGCGGGATGCCGGGGAGCGGATGGGGGCTGGCACGTGCTGGGACACGGCGGGTGGGCTTTCTCCACGCCCTCCCGACTGCCCACCCTGAGCCCACCTGGCTTGAGCCCGGCCACCAGGGGCTGGTGATGAAGGTAAAGAGCACCCCGGCTCAGGTGGCCGGGCTCCCCCACCTAGCGGGCCGCCCCATGTGGCATGGGTGTCCTGGTGCCAGGGAAGCTAAGGCACAGCGTGGGCACGCGGTGCGACCGGTGCTGCTCGCACACGGGAGCGAGGAAACGCGCTTCGCGCACTTCAATTCGCGCAAAACGACATCTGCCTTTTTTTTTCTTTTTCTTTTTTTTTTTTAAAAACAAAGTTTCCCTGAATGGTCTTGTGAGTGTCAAAAAAGTTCTTTCCCAATATAAAACAGGAAAGTTACACACAGTAAAAACGTTGCGCGAGTTTCCGCCCAGAAACCCTCAGGGGCCCTGGAGGGAGGCGGCGGTGGAGGAGCCGGGGACACGGGTGCCCATGCAAGTCCCGCTCACACCCGGCCGCGGTGCTCCAGTCCCGGACTAGGCCAGGCCAGGGGACTGGGGCGACTGGGGCGACCTGCCCCCCCTGGATTCGGTGAACAGCGAAGCCTCCTAGCCCGGCCACGGGCGCCCGAGGGCTGGCAGACCTCCGGGGTGGCGGGGGTCTTCAGAACTACCTCTTGAAAATAAACTGGAAACAACTAACCATGCTTGTTACAGAGAGCTGCGATGGGAGGCCACGACTCTGGACGGGAATGGGGAGAGGCTCTGCTCCCAAACGCACGAGTTCGTCACTGCTACAGCACGCAGAAATCACCGAGGACGCAGATCAGCTGACACCAGGACGTGGGGACACTGGGGACGCCAGGCCGACAGACCGCCTCGGGTACCACGCCTGGGTTCCTACTTCTACTCTCCACTGACCTACAGCTCTAGGACGGATGGACGCACCAGCCAGGGCACCAGGGTCTGTGCACAGCGTCAGATCTCGCGGCCTAGAGTCCGGGCCGGAGGGCGGAGGCGGCTCCCAGGACGGGTGGGACGCGGGCTCGCTCACTGGAGGATGAAGCCTGGCTGGTGCGGAGGCAGCCGGGGTGGGGGTCGCTGGGGGAGCGCCGGCGGGTACGGGGACACGAAGGGCGCAGCGAATCCTTGCTGTACGGGGAGCCCCACGCGCGGAGGCAGGGGCGGGCACTGTAATCCCGGGTACGGAGCGGCCTGTCCGGAGCCCATGGCGGCAGTGAACGGGGTGGCTAAGCGTCCTGCAGGTACCGGGGGTGGCGGTGGAGGGATGCGCCGAGGCACGACAGAGGGGGGCCCGCTGGCCTCCGGGCCGGGGTATGCCGTGGGTGCTGCCTCAGGTGCCCTGGACGGCAGTGGAGCTGGGGCCTGCGGGAGTCTCTGTCCCTTCAGCACCATCTCCTGCAGCTTCTCGATCTTCACCCTGCGCGTGTGCGCCAGCTTTCGCTGGCTCTGGTACGTGTCGATGAAGGAGTCTAGAGGGAGCTCTCCGTCCAGAAACTTCTCGGCCATGTTCTGAGGAGGCAGGGGAAACCTCGTCAAGGGCAGGCCGGCCGACCGGGGCCCAGAGAGAGGGGCGGCACCCCAGCTGCACCCACCCCCACCCGCCACCTGCTCAGCGCTGCAGCCCTGGAGGAGGGGTGGGCTCAGGCTGATGGAAGGGCCACCACCAAGCAGGGCCGCTACGAAGTGCAGCTGCCGTCCTCGGACAGCTGCAGGCCTGCAGGAGCTGGGCTTCCGGCCAAGGAGCCCCGCGTGTCCCTCCCAGGTCCGGCCCTCGGGATGCCTTGCTTTCAGCCTGGCCACACCCCCACAGACTCGCCCAGGTTTGCAGGAACGGATGTTTGCTTGCGCCACCAGGACACTGCCAATCAGACCAGCGGGGCCTGGTCTGGGCACCACGCCGCCACCCTACACAACAATCAACCTGACTCATGTCCTTGTCACCTGTGAGGTTCAAGCCCAAGGTCTCAGCTGGCTGTGCTGGCAAGCTGTGGCCACAGCTGACTCAGCACTTCAAACAGCAGCTCCGCCACTGGCACCCACGGGCCGGTGTGGATTCCGAGCATGGTGCACACGCCCGCACTGGCCCGGCACTGGCCCCCTGCAGCCCCCGGGCCCCAGCACGCAGGCCAGGCCGCCGCGCTCACTGCCCCGGAGGCTGGGCCCGCTGGCTGCCCACACAGCCCAAGTCCCAGGAGCGTGCCCGGGCACCGGGTCGAGGCTGGCTCTACCTCAGTGTCTTCCTCGATCTTGGCCCCTTCTGCTTGAAGAAGGGCCAGCAGGGTCTCCAGGGAAGCGCTGCTCGACTGTTTATCTGGAGGGAGCGAGAGGCACATGTGACGGGGCGTTCCAGACCTGCACGCCCACGGTCCGCCCGTCACCCCTCACACCCACGCTCCCACCGTCCACCTGTCGCCCACGGTCCGCCCGTCGCCCCCCTCACACCCACGCGCCCACCATCTGCCCGTCACCCCCCTCACACCCGCGCTCCCACCGTCTGCCCGTCACCCACCCTCACCGGGAGGGAAAGCACAGACCACGAGGAGTGAGCCCTCGGGGGGACCCCGGCCAGCCACGGGCATCAGCACCAGGCGCCCCTGCCCTCGGCGCGGTGTCGGCCCAGGTGTGGCCCTCGGCCCCCGGCCCCGCCGTGCTCGTCCCTGGACCTCCTGAGCGCGGTGATCCAGCACACGGTCTGCCGTGAGGACGGCATTTCTTATCGTTTACTGGATTTTATTTATCTTTTTTATTTTTTAATTTGCCACAGGGCATGTGTGCTCACCAGAGAGACAGGGAGAGGGAGCCGGGGGAGTGAGAAAGCAAGCCGCCAGCCCAGGACTCCAGCCATGGCCGGCCACGTGGGAGGCCAGCACCTTGAACCGTGTTCTCCCCTCCACTCCGCTCGAGAGCACCTTTAGAAAGTTACCTAGCTGGGTCTTCTTTATCTGATAGGCTTCGAAGAGAGCCTGGAGCTCCTGGTACCTCTGGGTCAGGCGCGCCTTCAGAGCGTCCAGCCGGGGCTGGTACAGGAGGTTCCCTTCCGCCAGGCTCCGGTTGCTGGCGAGGGTCATCTCCTTGTTCAGCTGGACGTTCTGCGTCTGCGGGAACACGAACGTGATGAGAACCGAAAGCCGCCGGTTGCCCGGCAGCCCTGACGCCTGAGCCGCCCCCGGGAGGCCGTCCGGCGCCCGCCGTGCTGCTTCTGCCTCGCTGATCTCCGGGCCAGCCCCACACGCTGGGCCGGCGCTTC